GTATAAAAAATAAAGAAAAAGCTGACGAATGGAAAATGAAATGAAATAAATATAACCTATCTATTCTAACCTAACCTGCTCATGGAAGCTATAGCCTTCAAAGCAGGGCCAATTCCCAGGATGGTGGCCCAAACTTTCTGCAACATGGGTTTGACAGCCTTGTACTTATGAGATTCTTGCAACTTCTTCGCCTTCGCGGCTTTTGCAGTGCTCAATCCCTGAACAGCTTGATCGCAGTCCTCCGGAGATGCCTCCTTTCTTTTCTTGGCAGCCAAACGCTCGTTCTCCTCGCCATCACTGGGACTGCCCCCCTCAGTCGGCTTAACGGGCGTCGCCGCCGCTGCAGCTGTGGACGCATTTCGAATCGCCTGCGACATCCACCGATGATGTATCCCCATCGGCGAGATATAGACATACCCCAATCGCCGGAACTCGTCTTTTGCGACGGAAACTTTATCATCATCGTCGTTGTTGCTGCTGCTCTTAAGCGTGAGGATACTGCTGAAACCCTTGGACTCCAATTTCTGAGCGCCATGGGAATGCCCGAGCCACTGGAATCCAGGGCTGGAGCGAGACGACGCCGTTACATAGTCGGTGAGGATTCTGTTCCTCCTGAAGATCGCTCTGGAAGCCATTTCTCAATTTCTGCAGTTTCGGATCTCACACATAATCAATTGCAGCACGCAACCGAAACAATGTCTTCTCAAGGTTTCTAGAAACCACTCGATTGAAATGAAATTGAAACTATTTACCAAGAAATGCGAATCAAGGAACCCAAATGAAAACCTCAAACCCTGAAATCCTCCTCTTTGACTTTTAGGGTTTAAGGTTTATATATTTATCAATAATAAACAATTTTTTACAGCAACAAAGTTGACCGTTCCAACTCTTTAGGAATATCCAGGAAAAAAAAAAAGAAAAAAAAAAGAAAAGAAAAATACGACTTGTTATCCAAGAAAATGACGCCGTCGAAAAACACGATGCGTATTTAATAATTTTTTTGATAATATTTCATTTCAAGAAGGGTAGTTAAAAATAAGTCTGAATTTAGCGAATTAATTGTATGGCTTTCGTGTTAGAACAACATTTTTTGCGATTGACCAAAAGGATAATAAAGAAAACTAGTGAAGCCTGTGAAGGAATATGCTCAAAGATTCGTTTATATATGCTGAATTCTCACTCAAATTGACAGATATTTGGCAATAAACAAGGCAAGGAGAATTCTTTGATTGCAACACATCCGTAATAAGAAATTAAAAAACAACGGATTTGTCAAATTTGCGACGAAATTCTGCGTAGGTTCTTGTCATGAATTGATGCAAATGATCCCCTACTAATTTTCATGATTAAGAGTCTAGAAGCACGAGAGATTTTCCCACCCTTGGCAGTATCGCCAAACAGAGGTTGATGCGGCAACAGAGGTTGATGCAGAGGCATGCTGCAAAAAACACCGGCAAACTCAAAATGTGTGGAAGCTCATTTCTTCTTCCCGCCCTTGGCAGCATCGCCAGCCTTGGTCTGCACAAAACAATGAAAATGATGAGAAAATCACAAAATAGTCAAGGCACTGAAAACATAACAAGGTTCAGAAAAGTAAAATCCACCAACAATTCCAGGTTCAAGAGAACAAAAAAAGCACCTTCTTTACTCCGCAGATCTTCTTGGCTCTGTTCTTCCTTTCCTTGAGTTGTTTCCTTGACTTCTCCACCTTTGTGTCCAGTCCATTCTGCACAAGTAGCCATGGTTGAGCAAGTGAGAGAGATTGAGACTGTCCGCGTGTGTAGATATAAGGGATTCAAGAGACAAACCCCCCAGGACGTCCATTTCAAGCCAAACCAAAAACACATGCAACAACTAAAAGATACCCTATTCACCAAAATCATAGCATTCAAAACCTACTAAAAAACACCTATTAACTTGGGAAGGATAGCAAAGCATACTTCTATAGCATTTAAAACCATTATATACCAGAAGCAGAAGCATCGATAAATCATATTATTCAAATTCTATGAACTCTTCCTGTGGAAGGCGATAGATTAGAGGATCGAAATAAATTAATCAACAGAATTTAAAACAGAAGCACCGCCGTTAGTAACCCTTTGTTCTACGGTTTATGAATAGCCTGAAAGGGCCTTTTTATCAAACTCATATGATAAGAAGGAATCCAATTAATGCACATTTGAATGACGAGAAATAAAGTTATGTTGAAGCATGAAGAACTAAAATTTACATGCAATGTGCTAGAGAAAAAGAATGTAAAGTTACCCTGATCAGCCTGTAGTTGGGCTCGTACTTCTTTCCATTCTCAACTGAATCATAAATCAAACCGAAATCAGTGGATTTCCCCCCCTCCAATATGGGTGCGGAACTTGAAAACAAAGATGGCATTTGGATCCCTCACTTCATACAACCTTGCCAGTTTCTCCTTCAACTCCGCCTACATTACCACACGAAACAAAAATTCTTTTCAGCTGACAAAACAAACAATCCGCCAACCAAAAAAATAAAGCCACAATCAAAGAAAACGTGTGAATAACAGCACTGGCACGAAATGTACAAATTAACAGCTACAAACCGTCGATACATTACAACCCAAATCTCGAAACCATTGTCTAAGGTTCGAAACTTATCTTTAAACTTGCAAAATACCATTAAGCCAACAAAACTAAGGTTTTCCGTGGTAAAATGTTGACACTAACGTTAGATAATCAAACGACAGAAAACAAACCTTGGAAACATTCGGTCTTCCTGGATGCAGGACATCGATAACCTGCAGCGAAACAAAGGATTTACACACTCCAAGTTAAAAAGTACAAAGATATACATTTCTGAGTAAGGATTTTTACAGCTTACGATCCCACATTGGAAGCACAGTTCAGTTTACGATATGGGATTGTTGGGTTAAATTCTTTCTTGTTTTTTCCTACGTTTTTCTAGTTGACCAAACCGGAGAATAGTAGTAGGTAGAAGACTCACGAATTGTTTCCTGGAGAGGAGACGGTTGGTCATGAACTTCCTTGTCCGGATCGTCACCGCCTTGCTATCCGCCATTGCTGTCTTTCTCTACCTGTGTTTCAATGTCTGCGCCTCCGTGCCTCTTCTTTCCTTCTGTGCGTGCGTGCGAGCTTTTCGAGAAAGAAGAAGACAAAGGGTTTTAGATGCTACAACTGAAAATATGTTGGGCCGCTATCCAAAATATTTCTCAACCCAAGCCCACCAACTTCTTTTTTTTTTTTTTTGGTTTTTTTTCTCAAATTAAAAACACCAATTAAACTTTCAAATAATTTTTGTGGCTGTAAATATTTTTATTAGTATAAAGAATTCTAAATATTATTGTAATTTTTTCTTTATTTTTGTTAAGAAAATAATTTCCTCACTATCTTTTTCTAAAAACAAAGGCCAAGCGCATAAAAAAAATAAATGCCTCAATCCAGAAATCATTTCTCATTCTTTGTTAACATTTAAGTTTTAGCATTGCTATTTTTTTCTAGACACATTAGCAAATCAAATTTGGTTTTTTTTTTATTTTTTTTTTATCAACGTGACGAGAAATTTGAATTTGGAACCTCTTTCCTTCTCTGGGAGAGAAGTTCCACTAAAAAAATAATTAGTTGGTAGGGATCGGATCATTGACATAACAAAATACAGTCGGACAAAGCCGAACAAAGGTGGTTAATTAAATTGAAAACGTGGCATGATACAATGAAGCTGGTCAAGTTGAAGATAGCAACTAGCAAGGCAACATGAAATAGGATTATAGTATTATCAACGGATGTATCATGTATGTATATAATAGGATAGTATTCATGTACAAGAAGATAAAATTATCCTCTTAATTGATAATTAATTAATTAGATGGCAATGCAGGTGGTGTAGGGTGCGACTGCGAGTCAACCAGGATGGACCAGAGAACATGCACATCTTCGCATGGACAGGACCTCACATCCTTGTACAATATATATATCCCTTTTCCTGCAAGTTTGTAAATTAACAAGAACGAAACAAAACAGAAACAAAAAAAAGTATGAAGATCTTATGGATGTTAACTGAGAGCTAGAGAAGAGATAGAATTAGATGGCAAAAGGAGAAACGAGGAATTGCGTACGCTTTCTGTTGCTCGAGTGCAGACGATCCCAGAGCTTCTTCAACGGGGAGACGAGGGAACGAAGCCACCCCATTGAAAGGAAGGAATGAATGGGGAAGGAGGTGGAAGCAGTTTTTAGAGTTTAAATGGCGGGTTTGTTTGTCAATCGTGCTACAAAGGTACATCACTCTTGTTGACGAGTCTTTGTCACATCCTTTTTCTTCCCCCTTACCAAATTAAGGAGCAAACCCCTTCTCATTTCTCAATCCCAACCATTCTTTTTCTTCCTTTTACGCTTGAAAACTCATTTTCCTTCCAACTGACATAATTGTGTTCGTGTTGCTTGCGCCTCAAGCCTCTCTATCTCGTGCAGTTAACCGGTTTTTTCATGCTCATTTTTGGGTGCTCATGTTTTCCTCGTGTCAAATACAGCGTTCGAGTTTCTGAATTTAGCAATGAGGTGTAGGAGTCATAGTAGTTAGAGATAATGTAGTAAGGATACAAGCAAGATATTGGATTAGTCTTCCTCTTCAACCTGAAGGAACCTACCTTCCACATTACATTTACAAAGTGGATGCCTTTTTGACCCATGAACGTTGTATGAAAATGCTCGATTAATTCGGATAAAACGGTAATTAAGACTGAATAATTCCATAAGCAAAGTATCGATTACGTACGGAGACAATTAATCTAATATGATTGGATTACATTACCAATTTACACACACATGTGGTTAATTTGTCTACGTTATGGGCTCCATCTGCACCCAAAGGAAAAGCAACTTCAGAAAGGCTTCTTCTTACCCTTCCTCTATACACTTTACAGATCGTACGATAACATCACTCTATAGATCGTTTCTTTTTCGCCTGCAAAATGCGGTGATCATCCTCAAATCAAAGGGTTTCGGATGAAAAGATAATAGAATTTCGGAGGAGTACATTATTATCTGCGTTCGTGCGTATGTAAAACAAGTCATCTATAGGAAAAGTTTTTTCTTTTGCACACATGAATCTAGCTAATACATACTAGAAAGGAACTGTTTCAGCTCCTTGGAAAACAAAGATTATGGGAAAGTAATTTTACTTTTTACGTAGGCTGACCCGATTGCTTACTCTAATCCAAAGCCTTCCCTCTTGATTATTAATTACACTGCAACGTCAAGGCCCGAGCAGCTAGTCTACCCCCAAGCCCTTTCCTCTATTCGTTTTGCGATGGAACTGAGACTGCCTCCTCTTATTTCCTGCATATCAGTACAGTTAGAAAATGAAATCTACAGTTTCATCGTGTGTAAGAGAAAATACTATGAACCTTAAGAAGATGGACATACCAAGGAAGCTTAAACGTGTCTTTCCACCATCCCTGCTTTGAGCAATTCGCAACTATCCTGTCCAACCGTACAATAATCTCAGAGAAAATGGGTCTCATAACAGGTTCTGGATCCCAACATTCCTCAATCAACCTGCATGCATATCATCGTAGCATCATCATTTAAGCATTACAATTCCCCTTTCGGATACGATGAGAAAAAGTTATTGCATATTAATCAGTAGACCCTTTGGTGACTTGTATTTAAATCAAACTTACTCTTTCACTACAGGGGGATAGCTTTTTGATTTGGTCCTCAACTGCGGTCTTTTTCCTTCCAAACACATCAGCTTCACAGATTCTTCAATAGGCTTGGGATGGAATGGTTGTATTCCCTCAATCATCTATGAGAAAACACATCCACGTAAGGAACACGTTAACGCTTTATTTCAATGTAATAAACAACAATGTAATGTTTTCCGCAAAGCATAAAAAGAAAACACATCAGCTTCACAGATTCTTCAATAGGCTTGGGATGGAATGGTTGTATTCCCTCAATCATCTATGAGAAAACACATCCACGTAAGGAACACGTTAACGCTTTATTTCAATGTAATAAACAACAATGTAATGTTTTCCGCAAAGCATAAAAAGAAAAAACCATGCCAAAAAATCCCCCAAATCAGCGGTGTTTTAAAATAAGAATCAAAAGTCAATGTCTGCAAGAGTGCCATATTCACAGCACAGTGTTTATGTGTAGCGTGTGTGCTTGGGAATGCAAAATACTGACAAGAAAGGAAACATATTCTAGAAACCTAGGCAAGTAGAGCTAATTTAGAAGTGCTGAACTGACAATTAATCAAATTTTATAACACAATGAAGATAGTAAATAGGTACCTCATATAATATAAGACCGAAAGAGTAGGCATCCACACTTCTGTCGAAACTTTCATCTTTGTAGATCTCAGGTGCCACATATAAACCTAGAATGAAAGAGGAAAAATTATACTTCAAATTCTGGTGATGTGCATGCGGTCCAAGAAAGTTAAGCAACAATCAGAATTCAAAATTTTAATTATGAATATTTCTCTACTCTTAAAAGACGAATAATATTATCATAGAGTGCACATGGGAGAGATGAATTCAAGGCAAGAAAGTTATTCAGTTGTACAAGAACTTACTTGAAAGGTCAGTGTTAGCACAAGGCTGTGCTAGTTTTGCTTTGTTAGGTGAGATTTTTGACAACCGTATCAAGCCAAATCCAGCTACTTTCAGTTGACCTCCATTATCGAGCAAAATATTTCTGGCACCTTACCGAAATTTCAAATATTAAATAACCTTTCATTCCAACCAGAGAACCATCAAAATTCAATAGGCAAGTATTACACATGTGCATCAACTTATGCATTCGGTTGTCTTACTTTGGCTTTAAGTCGCAGTGGATTATTGGGTCTGGTTTACATTCATGAAGATAATTCATGCCCCTGGTAACAAGAATAAGGAAAGAAAAATGTCATAAATGTGAAATGGCTGAACCTAGCTACAGACGTCAGAAGGAAGAACTTGCTTGAGGTACTCATAGATATGAATCATATGATGCAATTTATGTGCTTTTCATATGAACATAAATTTATTGTGTGTGCACGTGCGTGTGCTGATTTCTATTTAAATGGGAAGATTTAAAGGAATAATTTGCAGAAAAAGAAACACATGCCTTGCAATGTCAAGAGCAAATCTTAGGGCTTTTGATGGAGATAAGCGCCCTTTCTTTTGAAGATAGCTTCCCAAGTCACCCTAAAATATCACCATCAAAGCATGCCAAGTCATGGTTAAGATATTTAAGTGTATAATGAGTGGACAAGCACACATACAATTTATATGCAGAGAAAGAGAAGATTACTTTTGAATGATACTCTGACACAATCATCATCGGTATATTTTGGGTGACAGCACCAACAAATTGAACGACATTAGGATGCCGAACCTTCTCTAACAACTCCAGCTCATGTTTGAAAGCATTACTGTTGGATTTAAGGAAATATGAAGAAAGAATGCATCATAAAACAGTCATAGAAGTCTATAACATAAAATTGTGCCATCCCACACTGAACTAATGGCTCTGCAATTAACCAAGGAGCAATCAAACAATAACAAGATTATATAAATTGCATTACATTAGAATTAAGTGGTAGTACAACGTCACCTAAACGGTTTTCAGGGAATGAGGGTACATACATGCTTTCAGGGTCCGTGTAGCAATCCTTGTCAAGCATCTTTACAGACACCTTTGTACCATTCCATTTTGCCACTTGATACGATCCCTGTTGAGAAAAACGGAGAAACATATCAGTAATCTATCTAAATAACAAAGCACACGTTACTTGTGTTGCCCATTTGCAGCATTATGCACGTCCTGAAGGGACTCAGACTTTCAATTTTCCCGAGTACAAAGAAACCGCGTTCAATTCACCGAAGACTTTAGACACGACATATCATAAGTACTACTACTAGTAGTAGACTGGATCGTGCATGAACATTGAAAAGTAGAGCAGAAATCTATAAATGGTGGAGAAAAGGGGAAAAGGAACAACCTTTGTGATACCATCGCTCTTTCGAACTTGAAGCTCTAATGGATTGAGCTCATACTCTGGAACTTCTCGAGGATTCGCAACAGTCATTGGTGTTTTCCTGGTTTTCTAGAAAATAAAACAAAGAGAATACAACAAATGCATGAATCTCCACATGTAGACAGGCTAAAATTTTCAATCAGAGAGAAAGAAGGAAGTTGATCGGAGTATAGACCTACCGGAACTTTGGCTCCACGTGCCTTCAGAACGTTGTAAACTTCCGTATTCCCGTAATACTTAGCATCTGCAGCAGCCTGTTCACATTCAACACATTTGAAATGTTCAATCTCCCCCGTTGTAATATCGCAAATAATACGAAATTGTAAGCATATGTTTTTTTTTCTTAATTATATTTACACTCATAATATTCTAACTAAAATTTGATTAATTTAAGCAAACACATTAACACAGAGAGAATTAATCGAAGGGATAATTATATTGATTCATCATCATAAGATAGATAACAAAGAGCGTAGCAAGGAAGGAGTACCGTGCTGCCCCAGCGATCACGAGCATCGATATTGGCCTTGCGGGAGAGCAACAGCCTAACGACCTCGACGTGGCCCTCGCAGGCAGAGATATGGAGCGCCGTACGGCCGTCCAAATCGATGCTGTTGACGTCGATGCCTTGATTGAGAAGGTCCTCGACGCCCTGGACGTCGCCGCGGCAGGCGAGGAAGAGGAGGTTCATGGTGGAGTCGAGATTCTCGGGGACGGAGAGATCGACTTCGTCGTCATCGTCGTGCGAAGGGCTGCGGCGGATGGGGTCGAGGGAGGACTGCCTGCCGAAGCTGAAGCGCAAGTTGTTCCTCTTGGGGTCGAGCGAGGATTGGCGGGTGAACTGGCGGCTGAGAGTCCGCTTCAGCGACCCCGTGGAGAACTGCCGCGATATCCCCCGCTTCAGCTGCGCCGCGATGCTCTCCATTTTAATTAATCTAATTTAATTTAAACACTCTGTCTGTCTCTCCCTGAACTTTTCGATCAACTTTTACTGCAGATATATATATGGTGGTGGTGGTGTTGGTGTTTCAGAATTTGCAAACGGCAACTGCAATCTCTGTGATAATTCAAGTGCAGCAATTGCAATTGCAATTCAATGGAAGAAGTATGCGCATGCAGCAGCTGCTGTTATACAATTACAGATACATGATCATCCTTGTCATCTTCTTCTTCTTCTTGTTTTTGCTGGGATCAACCTGTTCCCGCCGGTAATGCTGGTGGCGGTGGTGGGTCGGGATCGAGAGCTTGAATGTGGGGCCCTGAGAGAGGGAGTTAAGCTCTCGATTCCGATCGACGAGGTGAGAGGAAGAGAAAATGAGGTCTGGAATGAGAGAGCGAGAGAAGAGGAGAGAGATAAGGAGAGATCCGAGTGGGGCGCCGCGCATTCAAGGAGAGAGAGATGGAGGGGGAATGCTTTTATTTTTTGCCTGCTGTTTCCACACACTGCCGCGGAAAAGCCGGTTTGGATATTTCCTTTAGTTAACGGTTTTATAAAAAATAGTTCTGAAATTGGCCAAACTTGAATGTCTTTTGATCGTGTAATTCAGAATCTATCAATATGGTTTCTGAAATTTACCATCGCACATTGATCTGATCCTTTCATTTCGCTTTTATGAAAAATTCAGTTTTATTGCTCGCGTGACACGCAAAACAGAATTTTTTAAGAAAATTTAACTGAATGACTAAATTAACATGCAATAGCAAATAAAGTGATCATATTAATTGATTTTAAAATTAAAAAACTAAAACTATTTGCGATTAAAACCTTTGAGTAATGGACAGCTCAATTTTCTTTTTGGACGTATAAAACGCGGCGACGCTACAGTTTGCTTCATTTTCTGTTATTATTTGCGTCATTATTCAAGAGCAATTACCTGTAATTTTGTCAAAGAAAATCATTACTTTTTATTCATTTTGTTTCCCTTCTAGCTGAATTTCGTTTGATTTGGTAATGTACAGGGCACAGCAGCAGATAAGAATGACATGAATGATGCCTAAAAGAGGAATTAGCTGCCTCTGCCACTCTGCCTCTGTGTAACAGCGTATGGTCCTTTTTGTCCCCGCCCAGCACTAAATACTAAATACGGTAAAATTGGAAAAAATAGATGACTTTCTGATAAGTTTTATGCTTATTGTCTGCTCACGTGGGAGTGACTTTTATGCCACAAATACACCGTTGAATCGTTGATGTATAAATTTTTTTTTGCATACGATTGTATCAATTTTTTGAGAGACGTGTCATGTAAATTAGTGTACTTACGTCTATTTTACGCTCAATTCGCTTCCCCGTCCTTTGAATTTAATTATTTAGCAAAAAAGAATGTGGCTATGTTTACATGAAAGGGATTTTGATTTGAAGTAAGATGTTAACATATTTGTTTTTGTTTGTTAAAGTTTGGACTGAAATGATGCGATGAGTGGATGAATCCAGTTGCAAGTCATCAGTGGGTCTGGCCGACTCGGTCAACCCAGAGTATGGAACACACAAGTTGAATCAAGCTGTCCCTTTGATTCATTAAAGTATCTTATCATCGTCTCACACAGTGAGTGCCCGTGATGAAACAGATACCAGACAATTCTAGTGCACGGGATAAAAAAGAAAACTAATATATATCTCCAAGTTGCACGTGATGAAAGAGATACAAGGCAACTGGCAAACCCTCACGCGTTTAGAGAGACCAATTCCCCCCACCCAAAATGTTATTCTATGCCATTCTCCAATACTCCCAATTCTCACCAATCAAAGGCAATTGGCAAACCCTCACACGCCCTCCCTCTCTTCCTTTATCCAGGCTTGGGACCGACAACGTAAGACAAACTTACAAAGGCGGAGTTATATATCCAATCCAATAACCACCTCCGGAGAGCAACAATACTTTAACCATATGTTAAGACTAAACATAAAGGTAAGCACTACGTACATGGGATGCCCACTATGCCACCACTTCATCCCAACAAGAGCACGCATCCTAACAAAACAAGGATTAAGGAAGATCATGTCATTCAAACCTTGTTTGATCGGGCAAGATCAATCCAATTTCTCTATGTTATTTGAGAGGCCCTCAAACGAGGTAAACTTTCGCCATGGGCGATGAAATAAGGTGAATTTTCATTCTAACTGATCAAGTGTGTGTTTCTCATCACAAGAGTCCCAGGCACCACAAACCTATCACCTATCGAAAAATTCAAAAGAGGCCAATGATTTCTATAACATCACATATCTTGATGCATTCAAGCTTATTATTGCTCAAAGCAAGCAGAGATAAGCCTATATCAGAAACAATCAAATTAAACATCTTTGATATTTGCAAGCACCAACACGGGGGAAGAAACTAAGAATGTAAATGTCTATCATCAAGTCAACTCAGTACCTTGGTGATCATGCAACTTGAAATTGATTCAGCGAATTAACATCAAACACAGTCAATACCAAATAGTTAAGGATTCATTTATCCAAAAGATAGTCACAGCGAAGACAGCTAAGCTACCTACACAATTTAATCCAAAAACCAACACTTTCAGAAAAATGGCAAGGGAATAAGGTATGCAAACCTTGAACGTTTTCTGATGAGTCAAACATCTAAGTGGACTTTTATTGCCATCTGAACTCATCGCAAAGCTAAATTCCACACTAGTGTCAACATAAAGAAGTGAATGATAAAGCATTACTTTCTACGCTTGTTGGGACCGGTCTTGTACCCACCCTTGGTAGGCTTTCCCCAAGGTGTTCGAGAACCCTTCCCATGAGACCCACTACTCTTGCTCTTACCCTCACCTCCACCATGAGGATGATCAACTGGATTCATTGCCACTCCTCGAACCGTTGGTCTGATGCCTCGCCACTGGTTTTGCCCAGCCTTATAGAGTTTCTTGGGCTTATTTCCATCACTTGGGACTGTACCAATTGTAGCCCGGCATTTAGAATCAATCCACTTTTCAACACCTGAAGGCAGTCTCACTAAACACCTTGAAACAGTGGGTTCTTTCAAAATCTTTGCAAAAGTGCCTGGTGCTCGAACTAACTTGCCACCTTGGCCCGGGTTCATCTCGATGCTGTGTATTTTGGCTTGAATGTGCATATCAGCAAGCGGCAAGCACCTTCCGTATTGTGAATTGATATCATAGTGAAACAACTGATTACTTGAACCAGCTACATCTGTGGAAAGTATAACATTACTAGTAAAGTTCATTTCGGCAGCAACTAGATCAATGCACATAAAAAGAAAGGCTTTTCCTAATTTCGACACCTGAAAATGGACACAACCATTCTTAGGATCATTGCTAAAAATTATATGGGTGCAAACTTGCAAAGGTAGTTTAAAGAGCAGAAGAAAGAGATGACACCAAAGAGGAGGAAATGAAATAGCACAATATCAACATAGAGAAGACGGTTGTTCATTCACGGATACAACGGTTTATTGATCATCGTTTTGCTTAAGAAAAACAGAACATCTGTAGGAAAGGAAATAGCACAATATCACCATAGATAAGACGATTGTTCATTTACGGATACAACGGTTATTTATTGATCATTGTTTTGTTTAAGACAAACAGAACATCTGTATTATCTTATCAAATAGAAACATCCCACATTCCACGAACTATGGCACAAACATCCCTTGAAATACAGCAGTTCAGTCATCAAACTCTAGGCGCCTACTACCTATCGGCTCTGCCATAACTCTCTGGTTAACCCTATATGGCATTGACCTTATAGTTGCCGGCTTATTTTTCCTAATTTTTTAAACTAACAAGCATTCGTATATAAATTATACAGACGATAACTTCACTCAAGAATTCACTTCAAATCTGCGTAATTTTTCTTACCCCTTCATTTCTCAGAAACCAAACAGCAATTTGGCTCACATATCCAACCCAATGAGCTTAACATGCAAGCTTAAACATTTTTAACAGCTCGAATCAGCTAATTTAAATTGATGTCAAATGAGGAAATGGCATGAAATGAAATACCGGTGGAGAGAGTGCGATTGGAGGCGCGGGTGGGGACATTGATGACGTTGGAGTGGCGTAGGAGCCTATTCAACAGGGAAGACGAAGCAGCTCCAGCTCTCCACACCGCCATACGATCCACTTCTACCCCTCCAGCTCTAGGTTTCCCTCCACCTCTCTTCTTTGTTCGCGCAGCGGCCGCAATTCATTCGGTGCTCTGCGTTTGGCTCCTGTCATTCCTAATACCGCCTTTAAACTGAAACGACCCCGTTTTTGTGTAGCTTAATTATGAAGGGGTTTTCGCTGTGATTCACTCGTTAATTTTGTGAGCCACGGTCAATCACTTCAACTAATTCCTTTTAGGATAATACTTGCATCCCAAATGACGGAATGCACATATTTCTTCATTTGTGAATAGTACCATATATTGAGCGTATAAACATAATGATTGGAACCATTTGATTTTTTAATCATTATTTAAAGATTACTCTTACAAAAAATCATTCAAATCGAAAATCGTTTAATCATCCAAACATATAAAAAAAACTAATGGACAACATGAATATGTTCCTTGGCACCTACACCATTAATTTGTTCTATACATTTCAATAACTAAATGTTCCTCTCTCCTTAGGTGATTAAAAAATTTAGCCTCTAAAAAGAAAAGAAAAATGAGAAAAACACTTTGTCGAAGATTCCCACCCACCCACCACACACCACCATGTAACTTGTAGTTTCTTTTGTGGTCGTTCTTTCACTCTAGCAACAAAAGTGTTTATGATTGTGGTTGCTCTCTTGCCTTATTAATGAGAGACCTTTGTAGCATCTATGACTTAATGCTCAAACTTGATTCTTTGAGTTGCAACTGTTGTTTATTGTTGAGGAGGTGGTTCTTGTATTGTTTGTTGTTTTATGCCCGTAGCTAAGAACTATAAGAGGAAGCTCAGAGTATATTGGAAGTGACTCATAGTAATGATTCTTTATCGATGATTGCAAGATTAACAAAAAATGTTACCGTTTTATCCCTATGATGTTGATATGATATAGTATAACAACTTAATATGTTTAGTCCTTGTATTCTCGATGAATTTGTAATGAAGAAAATTTAGTGCTTTTTTATTTACACTTGACATGTCTTATTAGTTGAAAATCATAGTATGCTTATGAATATATAGAGATTAATAAACATGAATAAATCGAAGAATGAACCGACTACAAACGAATATAATTTTATTATTAATTGAAAACAGAGATTTCTAACACACTAGTTATAGAGGACTAATCATAATCACATGCAAAAAAACAAAACTCTAAATTTAATGGACTAGGCACAAATTCTAACTTAAACCCTAATTTTTTAATTTTATTTCAAAAAATACTTATTCTCCCGATCGGACCACGTCATTCCCCAGTCAGGCCAAGAATTTGAGTGGGACCGGATCTGGGTTCACTCGGATTCAAATCAGTAGGATTTTAAGAATATTCTTAATCATCGTATATCATCTGATCATAAATAATTTTAAATTTTTTATTTAAAATTAAACATAATTATTACTTAACGAAAACTGGTTTGTATAATAAACTGCTATCCTCACAAAGGGAACAAGATCCTCGCTGGATCCTTCTATCAGGATCCTCCGGCTGCAGTAATCTCGTCCGTTCAACTGCAAATCGGACGGTCAAAAGACAATCACCCGTGTGCTGACAGCAACAGAAGCTGCGATGGCAGTAGTGGCCTCGGATCCTCCGCCTCTCGCGGATGTCGGAGAAGACGACGGCCCGGGATCGTAGCAGCGGCCTGGAAGAAGGCGCAGCAAAATCGGCTAGAAAAAATGAAGAAAAAAATTTGAAGAAGCAGCAGAATTGCAGAGAAGAAAGAATATGAACTGAAGAGGAAGAAGCTGCAGCAGCAGAACCGCATAGAAAAAGAAGAAGAAAGGTGTTGGGGAAGGATCCGGAGGATCCGGATAAAAGGGATTCGGAGAGGATCCAAAGAGCTCGGATCCTCATCCAGTGGGACCAACGAAGATACTGACAAAGCTGACATGACCAATCCCAAGGGTGTTATCCTCAATCGATTTAACTCGATATAAAATGCTCTGCTTGAATAGCGTCGTGTTCCCATTCGTAATTGGCAAGTCTTAGGTTACACTAGCAGCTCTCTCTCTCTTTCTCTCCAATGGCGACCATTTCTTCAGCTTCAGTTCGCACTCCGAACTTCTCTTCGTCCTTCTCCTCGGAGCACCTCCAATCCCTCGGTTTCTCTGAAACGCTATTGTTTCCTCTGACGAGTTCAGCTTCGAGATCAATAATCCATAGCCATGACCGCCACAAGCAACTCGCGGTCTCCGCTAGAAGCTTCGACCAGAATATCTCCGACAGCGGCTTCTCTTCCAACGGCTCTCCTCCTTCGACCGCCCGCTCCAAGTATGCACGCGTTATGTATAGATGTAAATTTGCGTGTTTCGTTAAAAAGATTATTAGATTTAATTTGTGATTATTGATTGATAAATCAGGGTAAGAAGGCACACGATTTCGGTGTTCGTTGGGGATGAAAGTGGAATGATAAATCGGATAGCAGGGGTGTTTGCTAGGAGGGGATACAACATCGAGTCCCTGGCTGTTGGTCTTAACAAGGACAAAGCTCTCTTCACCATCGTCGTCTCCGGAACCGAAACGGTCTTACGCCTCGTGATCGAGCAGCTTAACAAGCTCGTCAATGTTATGAAGGTTTAGCTTCTAATCTAATACAAATTTCTGATTAATTAATGTATTAAAATGTTAATTACTCTAGGTAAAGTGTGACCTGCAGCCTTATGTGAGCTAATATTTAGGATTTTTATGTACTCCTGGTCACTTGTGCTGCAGTATGTGTTAAAATATTGAATGCATTTGTAAATTATTTTGTTTACTGATTTTTCAGTTTGTTTGTTTGTTTTTTATAACGTGGCGGGTAGGTTGAAGATCTCTCAATTGAGCCTCAGGTGGAGCGTGAACTAATGCTTATAAAAGTAAATGCCGATCCAAGCTATCATGCCGAGGTAGTTATAGAATCATCCCTGGTATTAGACATAGCTAGTATTGCTCAAGGTTTTGAAATGCGTATGTTTACGATTTTCTGTTTTTGTTTATATTTTACCAGATCAAGTGGTTAGTGAGCATCTTTAGAGCAAAGATTGTGGATATCTCGGAACACTCGGTAACCATCGAGGTAATGATTGGTACACGTTCAGTGCAGATGTCATCTCTAGGCAGGCCTTTCGTTGAGACCAAGTGAATGTTCATACTTCCTCCATTATTTATAAGATTGAGCATCTGTACATTGATGTGAAGTTTGACTTTTACTCAAGTCCCAAAACCAAGTTAACCGTTTTTATATTATTATTTTTATGATATAGGTGACAGGAGATCCTGGGAAGATGGTTGCTCTGCAAAGAAATTTCAGCAAGTTTGGGATCAGAGAAGTTGCCAGAACTGGAAAGGTGCCTATTTGATAGAGAATCATTGAAATTCTCTTTTCTTCTTCACCTAAGATCTCATTCAGCAGTTTTGAGTGATGTGTCATGCATCAATATATTTTGTTGTTCTTGCCTGTAGATTGCCTTGAGGAGGGAAAAGTTGGGTGCATCTGCTCCATTTTGGCGATATTCAGCAGCGTCATATCCTGACCTTGGGAGAACAGTTCCTGTGGATGCTCTTGTGGGGGTTGAAAACGGACTAGTTAATGCTGAATCTGATGTGTCTTCTGGGGTATTTTCTTCCACAGCCTTTGGTTTGATTAGTCCTCACCAAATGCATCTCCTGTACTCTGTTTTTTCGTCTCCCATGCTTCTTACAATTTGATGAGATTACGTATGAGGTTGACCCTTTTCTCTGGAGAAAATGGGAATTATCATGCACTTTTTGATTACTTGATTTGATGTTATTTATTTCAGTTTCGATATACATATAATTCCATTCTAATCATAAGGCCTTTCATAATACAAGAGTCATTATGAAACTTTTTCTGTAGCTATATTATCTGTTGATAAGCTGTTGCTACATTTAAATCTCATGAAAAAAACCTTTATTGAATGCAATCTTTCCCTTCTTTTTAATCTTGAAACAGTGATTCTATTATTTTTGTACGTAACTGCTAATCATCATTGACTTTTCAATTAATACATATACATTTGTTCACGAAGGGTGATGTTTATCCTGTGGAGCCGTCTGATACCTTTACTGTCAATCAAGTTCTTGATGCTCACTGGGGTGTTCTCAATGATGAAGATGTAAGTAAATCATTTGATCGCTAAATGGTAATTTTTCAGTTTCTATCTCTTTCAATGGGGGTGCAAGTCATACCCTATCATAATCACTGGGTTTTTCTATTTTATTTTGAGAATACATCAAAGCACTCAGTTTCTATCTCATTCTAAACCCTACTGAATTTTGTTGACTATTTTTCTTTGAGCTACGCATTTCAGACTAATGGACTTCGATCACACACTTTATCCATGCTCGTGAATGACATTCCTGGGGTTCTCTACATTATTACTGGCGTTTTTGCCCGAAGGGGTTATAACATTCAGGTATATTTTCTCTGCTGTTATTTCCTCCTCTCTGTCTTCTACTCAGGCAGCAAGTTTTAGGCTTCTGTTTAAATGGGCTGATTTATTGCTACCAGAGCTTAGCTGTTGGCCATGCGGAAGCTGAGGGGCTATCTCGCATTACTACTGTTGTTCCTGGTACAGATGAATCAATTAGCAAGTTGGTGCAGCAGCTTTATAAGCTTGTTGATATTCATGATGTAAGAATGTTAACTACTCCAAAGAAGGCATTTTTCTCGGCATGTTAAAGAAAATATGTTGATTCTCATCTGTTGTGATTAATGCAACGAATAAATTTAATGCCATCTGGTGAATGCGATTATAGTCTATGCATGATTTGTCTGTACTGCACCACATATTCTGAGTCTTGCATTCACATTTTTGACCTAAATTGCCTGATTATAGTCTCCCCTTCTTTCACAATCATTGTTATTTATAATTGCTGGTTGAATAGCCTGGGAGCATGAAACATCATCAGTCTGTTGTTGTCTCCACAACTAAGTCACCCTCAGATATGATGGAGGGAAAGAAAGAGAATAAGATTTAATTGGGAGGGGATAGTCCAAACCCGGAAGTCCAGCACTTAGATGGCTCATCGCCTTGGCTTCATAACTTCTTTGCACCCTTTACTTTTGTCAGAATAGTTTTGGACCTTTTTTCCCCATAATTTCAGTATCCATAACACTAATAGTCTTTCTTATGTTTAAGTTAAGAATGGCGGCCTTGATGTGAATAACAAAATTTATAACTTTTGACTTGTTCAGGTTCAAGATCTTACCAATTTGCCATTTGCCGAGCGGGAATTGATGTTGATAAAAATTGCTGCGAATGCTGCTGCTCGAAGAGATGTACTTGATATTGGCAACATTTTTAGGGCCAAGGCTGTTGACGTTTCTGATCACACAATAACCCTTGAGGTGAATATTCCCTTTTCATATTATATACATAGAGGAAAATACCTCACTTGCTATGACCCGACGTGAATGACGCTATAAAGTACCTCAAGATGATGTATGTGGGTGATGATGGATGCTAAGGGGCCATTTTACGTTGTTAGAGGACAGATCTTGCTGTTGGTAACTTGGCACTGATCAAATTACTGATTTGCTTTTGTCCAGCTAACAGGAGACCTGGACAAGATGGTTGCATTGCAGAGGTTGTTAGAGCCCTATGGAATTTGTGAGGTTTGTCCTGCATTCTTTAGTCAAGTCTTGAAAATTTTGATATGGGCAGCTTGCATCATGAGTCTTGGCTTAGTTCTGTGAATGCGGCGTAATTTGTCTTGGCTATATTTTATGGGCCGACTCCTTAGGCAATCACGAACTTATTTTCCCTCTAGATTTTTTGGGTGGCATTATTGCTTCAAGATATCAACAATTCTTTATGGATTTGGCAGGTGGCGCGTACTGGACGAATTGCACTGGTGCGTGAGTCAGGTGTGGATTCGAAATACCTGCGTGGATATTCTTTTCCTCTGTAGTTGGAACTGGCTGGTTGATAATGATTTGGGAAACTTGAATGGGAGCACTTGTAAATGTGTGCAAGGTGCGCAATCTTGTGCGTACATATGAGTCAGATGGCAGACTCCAAGTTGAAGGGCTCAAGCAGACTGACTAGTACAACTTCAACTTTGTGCTTACACTTTTTATTGCAGATCACCTTCCGCTAGGATATTTGTTTTTGTTTTTTGTTTTTTTTGTTTTTTTTCAGTCCATGGAACTTATTTATTTTCGTTAGTAAAAGATAAAATCTGTGTTTGCTGAAACAGAACAATGTAAGTATTCGGAACATCACGCTAGTATAGCTGATCTGTAATGCGTGTCTTTCTGTATTCGAATTTTGATCATATATGCTGGAAATTGGAAAGTATGAATTGCTTATCCTCTTTTCTCTTTGTTTGCTTGTTTTTGCCCTCACCAACTTCTCCATTCTCTTTTCTTTTCTTTTCTTTTGAATTCAGAGATGGAGCAGAACAATATAGTGTTTAAGGGGAGTGTGTTAAGCATAGATGTCATATAGTTTTGTTATTATGCGATTCTGGGATTTTCTATTATGCTCCGGGGTATTTTGCACTCCAATGTTTTTGGCTGTTAGATCAAAACCTCCGAACTATTTGGTAACGAATGAGTATTTGGTTCTACTATATAGTTTACATATTTGAATGATAAAAGGTTGTGTAAGATTATATATAGGAAGAGTACTACATTACGAATATTTTGATTGAGTGGAAAGGAATGGATGATAATAGTGTCACTCCTTGGAAACTAAGACAAGTTGCTTTCCAATATTGCGGCCGGAGAAGAGGCCGACGAGGGCTTTGGGAGCATTGTCAAGGCCTTCAGCAATGTCTTCCACATAAGTCAATTTGCCTTGTTTGATGTAGGATATGACCAGGTCTAGGAACTTTGGATAAAGGTGAAAGTGATCCGCCACTATGAACCCTTCCATGCGCACCCGATTCCCGATCATGTACATCAAATTCTGTACACCTGCAGTCTGGCTACCGTCGAACTGTGAGATCATTCCACACGCTGCGATCCGCCCTTTGAATCTCATGTTTAGTAGCACTGCATCCAGCATCTTTCCCCCAACACTCTCATAGTATATGTCAATGCCTTCCGGAAAGTACCTGCATCATACACCCACATCTCGTCGTATACTTTTCTTTGAATGAATATTTGGGGATGGGGAATTCAAACTCAGGACGTCGGGTGCAGGGGTGAATGCTCTTAAAGTTGATCTCGGTTACTATACTAACCTTTTCAGAGCTGCAACCAAGTCGGTCTCTTCCTTATAGTTGAAAGCTTCGTCGAATCCAAACTTGTTCTTTAGCAGATCGACCTTATATAGTGTAAATAATATTGTAAGGAGATCCATTCAAAGCTAATAAAAATGACAAGTGGTTTTGGTTGATGCTAGCAATTAGCATATATAGTTAATTTAAGTTACCTTTTTTCTGCTTCCAGCAGTTCCAACAACATAGCAGCCCGACAATTTGGCAAACTGGCCAACAAGCTGGCCAATCGCTCCAGCTGCGGCGGAAACAAAGACTTTCTCCCCCGGCTTAGGTGAACAAACCTCATAGAAACCGGCATAAGCAGTCATACCATTCATGCCTGCGTAATAAGAAAGTGAAGAGATTCAATCAAGAGGATAAGTATATGTATACGAATATACAGGATCGCTCAAGCGCTAACGGGTTACCAAGAATTCCAGTATAGTAAGAGAGGGGGACATCAGTGTGCTGAATTTTTATCAAAGATTCCGTGGCCGTGATGACACTATATTCTTCCCAGCCGGTAAACCCCCAAACCAAGTCGCCTTTGGCGAATTTGGGATGGCCGGAATCCAAAACCTTAGACACTCCGTATCCGCTTATAGGCTGACCAGGTCTGTACATGTCGAGGGCGTAGGAGGAGGAAGCGTCGAGCTTCTTCATGCGCGCAGCCATGTAAGGGTCGCACGAGAGGTAGAGATTCTTGAGTAGAACGCCGGTGAATCCCCGAGGGAGCTTGAGCTTGATCTTGCTGGTGCTCACGCACATGTTGGAGTCCTTTGGATTCCCACTCATGAGATGCTCCTTAAGTAACACCTGCTTGTTGCTCACTTCCTCCACGCCCTCCGCTTCGACATTATTCGCCATTGCAGCCTCGTCTCCGTGTTAGTAACTTTTTCTCTGTTCAGTTTTGCAAGATTAGAATTAGGAAATCCAGATGCGAAGAATGCAGGGCAAATAGAAGAAGTCCCAGAGAGAAGAAGAGGGGTTTTCGTGAGTGGTAGTGGTGTGGACACACGTGCGATTGTTTGTTCTAGTTCGATGCATGGGCTAGCAATGTCGTCGTGTCCATAAATAAAGGCAAACCTCATGACTCGCCTAAAACGTGTAAATCCTTATCACCTTTTACTCGTTCAATATTTCTATATTTTTTTTTTGTTTGATGTTCAAAATCTTCTGTAACTAAAATTTTATGTGGCCTCTCTATTTGAGTAACACGTGATTTGAACTCAAGTATTGGAGTTTTAGACTGCTGTTTTTGTCTGGCTTTTTTACCAAAATTATACATATTGACTCTCTATTCAACGGCGGATTTAGAAACACCTTAAAGGATTTCAGTGTTAAAGTACAAGTTTTTTAGATAGAAATAAGCGCGAATTCACTGAGGCATTTTATCGAATTTTATTGCACACTTGGTGGGTTCATTATCGTCAATCAAACTGATTAGTGATTGATATAATTTGTTGAGTGTTGTCAACGCAACTTGTCAAAATATGCCTTGGTAGGCACAAAAGAGACTCATACTAAACAATGAAGGGTCCTTGGAAGGAAGGAGGATTCTCTACCCTCCTATTCCCATCCCCTTCCATCCCCTTCTCTCACACATTGTTTTTTATCTTATTATCTCTATAAAAAAATCAATATAAGATGTTGATGTGGCTTAACCGTGACCGTTCAAATAAGAGGGCACGGAAGGGTAGAGAGATTAGGAGGGTAGAGAATCCTCCTCCCCTTGGAAGACCTTCAAATGTATATTTTCCACACTCCAAGTGGTATTGAGACCATCTTGGTTCCAATGTACATCTAAGTCTCCTTGTAAAGCTTTTTCAATTATCGATGCTCTGATTTTTGAAAGAATCTCTTCCCTTGTAATATTGGATGGATTTAGTTAAAAAAAAAGGGTTGATTTGACAATCCAGAAATTTTACTTGAGCTTGGTATTACCACGTGATCATGCTAAGCTTAATCAGAGAACATTTATTAAGGGAACAAAACAGCTCCCCTCAACACAATTATTTATAACCAGAACATGCTGTTACAAAAACCACCTCGTACAAGTTGTAATTTACTAGTTACACACACGCTAACAGGGACTATTGGGCGTCTGTGAGTGATGAAGTCAATCCCTGGAAACTAAAACCACCTGCTTTCCGACATTGCGGCCGGCAAAGAGCCCTATCAGAGCTGCCGGAGCGCTCTCAATGCCTTCAACTACATCTTCCACGTATGTTATCTTCCCTTCTTTTATGGATGGTAGTACTGTTTCAAGAAACTTCCCGTAGAGATGATAGAAACTAGAAGCCACGAAACCTTGCATACGGAGCTGTTTAGAGATCATTGACGTTAAATTATGCACGCCTTCCTTCTGCTCAAGGTTGTACTGCGAGATCATCCCACAAACTGTGATTCGGCCATTCATCCTCATGTTTAGCAGGACTGCATCGAGCATCTTTCCCCCAACATTTTCAAAGTATATATCGATGCCTTCAGGAAAGTACCTGTTAAGTAAATTACACATTCAGAATATACATGTTTAGCCCAATGTTTAAGCAATATATAGGAAGTGGAAAATCAACCTCACATACTCAAGAACCTTTCATTTTCTTTCATTTTCTAATCTTCTCTCTCTTTCGAAAGATTGGGGATTAGATCTTAAGTTTTGTTATTGATGTTAAGGCCTTTCAGAAAAGGGGTCGTATTGTTGACACATGAAAAACTCAGTCTGCCTTCAGCAGATTAAAATTAGAAACAAAAATGCCCCTCATCACCATTCATAAAGTTCTGATTCTGATCAAAAGTTAAAACACATTACACAGATATATAGGACTGACCTTTTTAAGGCAGCATCCAAGTTAGGTTCTTCTTTATAATTGAAAGCCTCGTCAAACCCGAACTTGTTCCTCAGCAAATCAACCTTAACTCGCAGAAAAGGCATACAAATATATAACATTGAAGTGCTTCAATTGACTCCAGCATGTTGAAGAATAAAAGTAAACGAGTTGAACACATTTGATGGCAATGATGATAAAAAAATTATTGGTCACCAACACCATTTGTACTTCAGCACAAGATGTTCTGTTTCATTTTCCAAATTTGCGAACCACAAAAAATCGTCATACATACATGTCTTTACAAGAATATTCTGACTCACAGCTATGAATTGCCAATTAATGTATTAATTCCTAATTTCCTATTGATTACCAAATAGCAATGACTCACCTTTTCTTTGCTTCCAGCACTCCCAACAACTTTGCGAATTGCCCAACAAGTTGACCTACTGCTCCAGATGCGGCAGAAACGAAGACTGTCTCTCCTTTCTTTGGCGTGCAAACCTCATGAAAACCAGCATAAGCAGTTATACCAGGCGTTCCTACATAAGACAAATATAGTAGATGAACCTTGAGCATCAAGCAGGACATATCATGCATACAAATTAAGCCTTACATATTACCAAAATTATGTTTCATGACGGTTTAAATTTGATTAGAATGGATTACTCTATCATCCCATTCTATCAAGAAGAATAGTACACATCAAGGCAGGTAAGTTACTGCATGACTAATGGAAAAAAAAAAAAAATGTTTGATGGCAATCAAGTTCCTTACTACACTACTAAAGAGTGTCAGAATTGAGCAAAAGCAATTCACTGTCAGTATCATATTGGTCAATGCAGGAAAGATACAGCTAGAAATCGAAATGTGGAGATCCTTTCATGAGAGAAGACCATTCGTCAAAAACGAAGATTTTGACACTGTCCTTAAACTTCTGATCTTAGAATGAAAATTGGAATCAAGTCACTCAGCATATAACAATATGTGACATATGTGAACCAATTTATCTACCAATTTCATTCAAGACTTACGAACTTCACACTCAAGTTTCATTAGTCAATACAAACGTATGAGATTATAAATTTCAGATAGCTAGCTATGTGCCGCAGAAGCAATTTTCCGAAGACATCAACTTCAAAATTTGGTGAAAATAGCACTAGAAATATACCTAGAATTCCAGTATAGTAAGAGAGTTGGACATCGGTGTCGTGAATCTTAAACAGGGCCTGTGTGGCAGTGATGAGACTGTATTCTTCCCACCCGGTCATCCCCCAAACGAAATCGCCTTCCTTGAACTTGGGATCCCCCGATTCCAAAACTTTAGCCACTCCGTATCCGGTTATAGGCTGCCAGTCCACAGCATTTCAATATCAATGTGATCAAGTTAGTAGTACTAAATAGGAACAAAAATGCAAGCTGTTTTGTTTGGCCAAGAAAAATGACATTGGTTGGATTACGTTCATCACAAAATTAAAATGCAAGCTTGAATTAGTCTCTGTATATTATAAAGCAGAGATATTCAGACACCAAGGGGAAGTTGTGAGGATTACGTTCATCTCAAATCCTTCAGCCCCATTTGTAAATATAGAGAAATTAATGCTAACAATTCTAAAAGTATAACAAGTTAGGGAGATCAGAGAGGGATGATGAACTGACCGAACCGGGGACGAAGCAGCCGACATAACTGCCGGGTTCGCGCTTGGTCATGCGGCCTCTCATATAAGGGTCGCAGGACAAGTAGAGGTTCTTCACCAGAACCCCATTGGAACCTTCTGGAAGCTTCAGCTCGGTGGTGGCCGCGGTGACTAATTGCATGTCGGATTCTTTGGGGAAGCCGGTGACATAGTCTCTCAATATCACCTGCTTGTTGCTCGTCACTTCCATTTTTTATTCTTTTTCTATTGAATTTGCTTCTCTTGTTACAAACAGAGCCGATCGCGGAATGTTTAAATGCGCTGTGAGCAATCAGCAATGTCAAGTCAAGTTGTTAACGGCATTGGTCGTTTATTTCACCTTTGTCGATGCCGCTTTGCCGACTTGATGTCCCCTTTGCCGTCTTCATGTCCGCATCTTGATGTCCCCTTTGCCGTCTTCATGTCCGCTAGTTAGAGAAGAACCTTGATGAATTTTCAACGTTGGTTGAACGAGGAGACGTCTTTCCAACTCAGAGATGGTGGGGAGCCTCCACGTTATAGTAAGTACTTTTCTTCTAATTTGTTTCATCAGATGAATTTTTAACAATTGCACACTAGTAATCAATGAAGAAAATCAATTTATGTGGGGTGGTCCTAATACATTAAAATAGGTGTTTGTGCCGTCCTATCATTTTCATACTTGAATGCGTTGGTTTTTATATGACACAAAAAAATGAATTTGTTGGTTTGTGGTTGGATTTTTGGGATTTGGGGTTTTACTAACTTACTGAATCAAACTAATTCACACGCATTCTACTTTTGAGATATCAGCTTGAAGCAACATGTAGATTCTCTACTTTACTGCGATTTTATTATATGTTAAGAACGTAAAATTAGAAAGAAAAGAAATGAAATTGTATCAGAAAACAATTTCTTTTCTTCTTCTGTATTGACACATGAACTGCACCTACAGAGCAATCCATTTCTTCATTTCTTCAACCTTATCAACAGTAAACCCCAAATACCATAACAAATTAGTGGATCATGCATTGCTCAAAATGCTGGGGAAGGCAAGTTTCAAGTGACACACATGTACAGGACACAATATGCAGTGGATTTAAATAGGTACTCATATTCATGCAGAAAATGGGATCTATGTGGTATTCCTTGTTGTCATGCCATGGCTGCGATTACAAGACAACAGAGGAGGCCATGTTGGCCAAACTTCAAAAACTACAAGTGAAGGGTGATACCAGCACCAATCTGTGATGCATCCAAGAGGAAGCCAAGAAGTGCTACAACACCAATCAGTTATAATTGGAGAACCAAGTGGCAACACTTCCAACAAAGGTTCAAGCAAACTATCCAAGAGAATACTACTGAGTTCCATAACCAAGCTATGGTTTTCAATATCGATGTCAATGACTACGGTGTGTTCATGAAGTACATCGGAGGTCTTGCCGACAACATTCAGAATTAACTGAAATTATTCACCGTAGAAACTACTGGAGAAGCTACTATGAAGGTCCTCCCATCGAGGAAAAAAACAAAAGAGCTAACTTAAAAGATGA